CCTGCTTAAGCAGGGGTTTGGATTAGAAGACCTCCAAGGTTCCTTCCAACTCTGTTATTCAGTTTTTTGTAAGATCATGTGATTGCCATTTGCAATTTTCCCAGGGGGCTGCCAATAGGCAAATTCAATGAGGCAAGCTGGGGTTGTTTAACAAAGGTGGCAAAAAGGTTATAAAAATGGAGTTATTTAACAACCACATTGCTTTGAGATGGACATTCCAGACAATATCTTATATAACGTTGTGCTAAAATAAAACCAGAAATTCATGAACTACAGACCACTTGTGCCCCCTGAAACATTATTTTTGTAGGTTACGGATACTTGCTTGGATTTCAGCTTACATGAAAAACTTATATTCAACTTACATTACAAATAATGACTGTTTGCTTAGATTGGTTTTGTAAAATGCTGAAGTCTCAAATACATGCAAACTAGAATGATCTTTTATTTATTATAATTTTGAGAATTTCAGTCTGAAAGTCATGTTTCTGAAGTGATAATGCAATAGTTTTAGTGATATTATATGCTTACTTTTCCTATTAATGGATAAGAGATAATCACATTTTGTCTAGCTGATGATAGTCAGGTGATAGTCAGAGGTACTGAATAAATGGTGTGGCACATAGGCAAATCACTGATTGCCTTAACTTCTTCTATTTGAAATGCTGAGAACAAGATCTGAAAATACGGTTTTATTCCTGCTCTTTTCATTTGGGCTACTGAAAGAGAGCGTCACAGCCATCAAGTTAACATTTCTCATAAGATCTGAAGCTGAGGAACTGGAAGAGGAAAAAAGCTGCCTTATCTCAAAATCATCAAGAGCTTCATAATTGCTCCTATAAGACAGTTGAGCCACAAGTAAATCAGTTCAGTTCACCAGTGCTGATTAAGTTATGGGTACATAGAAGCATGGAATTGCTTTCAGTCTGGTTCTGAACTCATATATGGAAGCCTCCCAACTTCCAAAGCTCCTGGTAAGCCTGGCCAAGTGTAGTTCAACAGACAGTACTTGGAAGGCACCAGGCTACATCAAAGGAAAATAATAAGTGGAGTAATATAAGATGAAAGTTAACTTTCTCACAATGAAGCTTATGATCTTTTCTAAAGGGTGGGTGGTAAGGAGTACCATAGACTTAGACCATTGGGAACGGAGGAAAATGTGGATGAGTTCTTTATGAAGATAAGGGAGTTTCTTGTTGCTAACTTTCTTATTTAATAGTCTTCTGGAACCAGTACAAACTGTTTGTACAGTTAACCACTTCCTTTTCTTTTCTTTTTTTCAGAGCAAAAGATTCTGTAAAGCATTTTCATGTGGAATATACAGGGAATTCATACAAGTTTGGCTTCAATGAATTTTCAGACTTGAAAGACCTGATCATGCATTTTGCGAATCAGCCTTTAATAGGTAGCGAGACAGGTAATCCAATTTTTCTTTTTCTCTTTCTTTTGAAATATTGTATTATGAAAATTTAATGTAAAGATTTTATATTGTAGCTTTACTTTAAACCAAAGCTCTTTTTATATCCTCAGATCAATCACCCCCTTTGTAAGTTTTATAGGTTTTTGCTGCCTCCAACAAAGTTCTTCATATTTAAATTAATGTTTAATAATTACTTTTTGCAGATGTTCAGGTATTGCAACAGTGGTTTGTTAGTCTATATTGCACACTAGAAAACATTTCCTAATAGGATAAATGTTATGTACATTGTGGATTCATGATGTGAGGAGAGTAGAGCACAAGTTGGCACAGAAATTGCAATGCATTTAATTCAATGCTTTACAGAAAAAGCTTTTTGATTTTAACCTTGGGGTGATACTTTTTGTTTTTATGAATGTACTAAAATAGAAGTGTGTTATGTTTTAAGTATAATTTTGTCCCTTATTTGTTGATTGTCTAGTGGCAAAGAATAGTATTGCTAGTGGAAAGAAAGATATAAGTTTAATTAAGAAATAGTTCTAATACAATAGTTGGAGAAGTGATCAATAATACAGTTAATTAAGTTATTTTTTCCTTCAGTATTTCTGCTCTCCTGCAGTTCAAGGTTTTTTTTTCCATCTGCCTTTTAAATAAAAGATAAAAGTTGCGGACACCGGCTGTTTCATAACCAGTAGTTTTCCTATTAATAATTGTATGCTTTGTTAAAATTACTGGCACTCTTGGTTTTGCTGGACTGATTCCACAGAAGTCATTCCTTTGCTGTTCTTCTTTTGAAATCCCAAAGGGGCTTTTTCAAGAGGCAACTGGACTTTCTGGTTTTTCTTTGAAGATGTTTCCCAACTTTGGGACAACCATGACCGGGGTTGACTGAGAATCTCCATAGACTTCTTTTGAAATCTTTGGATCTGTTCTCATAAAGCTAATAAAACCATCTTGATCCAAACATTTCAGTTTGGTTTGGCTAACAATTTTGTATCTAATACATTTGGGATAAATGCTGATTTTATCCTTACTAGTTTTATTACAGAAGTAAATACTTGAATACATCATTCTGGGTGGTTTAAGAAAGCATTTGAAAAGATAGAGAGGCAAGGAACACTGAAATATACATTTAGTTTAAGGCCAGAAATGGTTTAATCTTGTTCAAGTGTCAAGTCTATTTCCTGATATGTTAAAACTCATTGACTGGCCCCAACTGACAGTGCCTAGAAACCTGAGCTCTGTTGTTACAGTCCCTGAATAGGTTGCTATTTAACACAAGATATGCTTCAGATTTTTGATGAGCAACTACTACTGGAGCAGGTCCAGGTGAAGAAGCGGCTCCCATTATCAACTCATTATGTTTCAAGTAAGGTCAATGAGCTGAACTTTTAAGAATACTAAAGTACCTGGCCGTTCTGAGAAAGGAAAGGATGATAAAAGGAGCAATAAGCAATTCAGAAGGGTTTTTATTCTGTTCTGTTTTTTGGCAGTATCACTTCAGTGAGGTTTTGTATTAAGAGAACTCTCCCTTTGCACATGGGAGGTCCTACTGTACTTTTCTTCAAATCTTTCAGATGCTTTGCTTTTCTATACTCAGGATCAGGCACTGTGACACTGGGTTCCATTTAAACACATTTGAGGATTCTCTGATTTATAGGGCAGATGCAAATCAATGGGAATGCTTTAAGATGACAAACATCCTGATCATTCCAGTTGTTTTTCTTGTCTTCTCGTTTTTAAGTTTTGCTGACCTGGAGCACCATTTTGACAAAATAGAGTGTATCTCCTTAGATTGTTCTTTGCTGCCCTTCACTAAGAGGACGAAACAACAGTACAACTAAACATCCATTTCTTTATACTTCCAAAATGCAGGTAGTCCTCAATGCACGACCACAATTGAGCCCAAAATTTATGTCATTAAGCAAATAGCAATCTATTTGTTAAGCAAGTCTTGCCCCATTTTACGACCTTTCTTGCCACAGTTGTTAAGTGAATCACTGCAGTTGTTAAGTTAGTAGCATGGTTGTAAGTTAATTTTGGCTTCCCCATTGACTTTGCTTGTCAGAAGGTCGCAAAAAGTGATCACATGACCCGAGGACACTGGAAATAGATATGAGTCAGGTGTCAACCATTTGAATTTTGATTATGTGATCATGGGGATACTGCAATGGTCATAAGTATGAAAAATGCTCATAGGTCACTTTGTTCAGTTGCTGTTGAAACTTTGAATGGTCACTAAACAAACTGTTGTAAGTCAAGTATACCTGTACATAGTTTCCAAACATAGAATCAATCAGACCAGGGGCGAAATCAGAGGCTTGATACAGGTACTAATAAAGGAGAGAAGCAACTCAGAACTAAGGAGATATTTCCTGATAGTTAAAACAATTAATCAGTGGAACCAGAAGTTGCCTCCAGAAATTGTAAATGCTCCAACACTGGAAGTTTTTAAGAAGAGATTGGATAGCCATTTATCTGAAATGGTATAGGGTTTCCTGCCTAAGCAGGGGGTTGGACTAGAAGACCTCCAAGGTACCTTCCAACTCTGTTATTCTGTTCTGTTCTATTTGGAAGGTAGTCCTTGATTTATAATCATTCGTTTAATGAAGAAAGATACAACAGCACTCAAAAAAGTGACTTACAACTGTTCCTCACAGTTACAACTATCACAGCATCCTCGTGATCATGTGATCAAAATTTGGGTGTTTGGCAGCCAGCGTGTTTTTATGATGGTTGCATCATCGTAGAATTAGGTGATAGCCAATTGCAACTTTCTTGCTGGTTTCTGACAAGCAAAGTCAATGGGGGAAGCCAGATTCACTTAATGATCACATGAGTCACTTAACTGCAGTCATTCGCTTAACAACCAATGGTAAAAAAGGCTGTAAAATTGAGCATAACAACTGCCTTGCTTAGGAACAAAATTCTGGTTTTATTTAAGGTCATAACTTGAGGACTAGCTTTAGATATCAACTTTGTTAAACCTAGGCAGATTTAACTTCCATTCATGTTGGAGTGGGAAACCACTTGCTATCCTATGAATAGTGATGCAAATTGGCTAGTTAAAGTAATAACATCCCACCATTTGCTGATTATGGTATCATCCATTGAATTTTATTTATTCATGAACCATAGAAACAGCCTCACTCTTTTAGAAAGGTCATCTACTCTAGTCCTAACTAACAGAAATTGTTTCTCATGGCTTGCATCTTAGATATAGTATATGTTATTGCCTAGGAATCTCCTTCTTATAGTTTACTGATCATTCAATTTAAATATTTCTAATGCACCTTGTACATTATTGTGGTTTTCCTTCACCACTGTCTATCCTGCCATCTGTTATATCTGTTAACAGCGAAGAAATTCACACTATATAATAGTGAATTTGATCTTCAGTGTTGAATGATAGACTTGGCCTATGCTTTACAGGTCCCAAATCAGATTCTGCTGGCTCTGTGAAACTCCTTTCATGTTCTTAAAATGGAAAGTGCCACCAGCTGGGAGATATGTGTTAGACCTCATAATACCTATAAACTTGTTCCCTTCCATGTTATTTTTCTATAGGAAGCAATGCATAGAAAAGGAAAGTTAACACCAGAAAAATCAATTAGCAAAACAGCCGAAACTCACAGAGTAGGTTTAATAATGTTTCAGGATCTAATCTGTGTCAGTCACTTCAGTTCCCTGAGGATGGGCTCTGGCACGAATCCAAAAGTTCCAAAGATAAAACTTCTGGTTCTGGTGACTGGCCCCAATGGGATCCCATATCAATAGATTATATTTCTCTTTCCATAGGCCAAAGAACAATCTGGAATGAAACTCTTTCATGGTTACAGATAATGGATAATTTTATTTGAAATATCTATCAATGATTTCATTTGATTTTGAGGATTCTATTATAACCCTAACCTTTATAATATGAAGCAATATTTAAAAGCACTTTAAAAAGTAACTTTTTATTAAAAAATAAGCAAAAACGTGACAAGCCCTTAATTTCACAACACATGGACAGTCTCAACCATAATTTCAACTGAAAGATTGTAAGCATCCCAGACCAAAATAATCCAAAAATGATAGAGAATCCCTGCATGCTGAGAGAAATTAGTCATCAATAGATACATACAGATAAACCAGATTTACACACCATTCACGAGACAATAAAAAGGTAAAAAGGAAACAAAAAGACCAGACACATCCTCACCCAGATAAGCAGGAAGTAAGACCAGACAATCAAGCAGAAAACAGTACCCTAATCAAGGAACTTCTAAGGTGAACCGCCCCTTCCCGCCCCTGCCAAACATTGGCATAGCAAACTACTGTGTAAAAACAGGCAGCAAAGTCCACACTCACTAGTACTGCGGATGTCAGGTAACAAAATGTCTGCAAGCAAAGAACCAAGCTTAGAGAGCGTCAAGGACTCTATAATAAGCAAGGTCTCCTTTGAGTCAAATCCAGCTAGTGATTTCATGGAGATGCCATGTAGTTTTCTTGGCAACAATCTAGAAATGGCTGGTCACTACCTTTTTCTGGGTTGCTTGTTCAATTCCTAACTAGCTGACAACTGTAAGATTGGTAGTCTCTCCGTCAACTGGTAACTTGTTTAGGTTTTAGGATAAGGTAAGATATCTATGTACTGCACCTTGTTGGAGCTTTATTAATTATTTAGCTGGGAAGAAGGTCCATGCCAAAATACATCAAAGTGCAGGGATACTTCCCTGTGGGTTGACATACTTTGCAAAATGTACTTTTTAGATTGGTGAGGACTAAGCTCAAAATAGGGCTAAGGTGAATCTGAAGGAGATCTCAGTAAGTTTTTGGTGAATCCGAGATAAAGGGAGAAATGTAAAACAAAAATAGACAAATATGTTTTGATACTTTGTTAAGTTATCTAAGTGCTTAATTTTTATAGAACAGAATGTTAGATCTAGGTATATATAGTAAGTGATACATTGTAATGGCTTTGTAAGAATATGTATATATGTGTGTGTGTGTGTATATGTATGTGTATATATATATATATATATATATATATATATATATATATATATATATATATATATATATATATATATATATATATATATATATATATATATATATATATATATATATATATATTGTGTGTGTGCATCCCATTACATATCAATTCATACAGACTATACAGACTATCAATTCATAGAACCATAGTCTGTAGAGATTCTCAGTCATCTAGGTCATGGTTGGACCTTATATGCTTTTTCAAGAAGCCTTCTTGGAATTGTTGAAAGGACTATGTTGTAGACTGGAGATAGAGGATGTCATATCCCTCTCCCTCTGTTGAGAGAGGGCTGTTCAATTGTGACATAGATGGCCTCTTTGACCCCTCTTTTAAACCAGCAGTCCTCAAGTTTCAAAATGTGAACTTTGCTGTCTTCAAAAGAGTGGCCTGTGCCTTTTAAATGCAGATGGACTGCAGACTCTTGTCCTGATGGGTTTGTTCTCCTATGTTCTGCCATGCGTTTATGAACTTGGATGAGAAGCGATAGGAAAAAAACCAAGAAAGTCTAGTTGTCTCTTAAAAAGCACCTTTGGGACATCACTCTGAATTCACTTTTATGGGCTACTTTGGGATTTCTTTCTTATAGGGACTTTGATTGTATTGAAGTATCCATATCCCAAGAAAGTAGAAGAGCCTTCCATTTATGAATCTGTGCGAGTCCACACGGCTATGCAGACAGGAAAAACAGAAATTGACCTCATTTCCAGTGCTCCGTCGGTGAGTTTCTATTTGGGCTATGAATTGGAGAAAAGAAAGTTTTCCATAGTTTACTATGAATTAGGATAAGGTTTTGATTAGAACTGAAGTGAATCCTTTAGAACAGGGCTGTCAAACTTGCGGCCCACGGGCCAGAGGCGTCACGTGCTAGCCGCACCCCTGCCCGGTTTATTGAAGGGGAAAAAAGTCCCAATACATCACATGACCCTACTGTGATGGCGCAAGTTTGACACCCCTGCTTTAGAAGAAAGCATCCAGGCTGGAAGTTCTTGGGATTGAAGACTTGACAAATCTAGAAGATATCTGTTTGGGAAAGATGGTCTTAATGAGAAAATGTTCTTCCTCCACATGGTGCATTTCAGCAATTAAAGGTAAAGATTTCCCCTGTCCAATTATGTCTGACTCTAGGGTGGGGGTGCTCATCACTGTTTCTTAGCCAAGGGAGCCAACGTTGTCCGAAGACACTTCCATGGTCACGTGGCCGGCATGACTATACACTGGTGGAATGCTGTTACCTTCCCATCAAAGTAGTACCTATTTATCTACTTGCATTTACATGCTTTTGAACTGCTAGGTTGGCAGGACCTGGGGCAAGTAATGGGAGCTTACTCTGTCATGGAGTGATTGAGTCTTGAACCTGGGCAGTCAGCTTTCCAGCTGACCAGCTCAGCATCTTTAACCATTGAGCCATTACACCAGCTATTAATGTAACTTATAGCATAAACATGAAGGCTGGGATCATACAATGGTCTAAATTTTAAACCTGGTTAACAAAACATAGCCACTGTGTTTATATCATATGTTATTCTCAATAGTATTCAATGGGGTGTTTAGTTCATACAATATTCTAAGTTAATGGCTGGATTTCCTTCTGATGCCGTGATTTGCAGATGACCCAATTCCATTTTGCCCTAACTGGGTGTTGTATATAAATGTTGATTGATTTGATAAACCAAATGACTTTTGATGAACAAAGTATGTTCAGTTGTCTAGTGTTTATGTTTCATCCCTTTACAATATGTATTTCATACATTATAGTCAGCACCCACTTTAATACATGTTGCCAGAGGGAATAGTTCACCAAATTATTGGCAAAATAAATTTTGCATAATTGTACAGTGAGATGAACCTCTTGGGAAGTGGGAGCAGATAACTTATTTATAAGAGAAAAGGAACAATTACAGCTGAAAACTACCAACCTCTTTTGCTGTGTCAGCCACATCAAGACTCTGAAAAGACTTGGGTTTAAGATGACCTACCTGCCTCCCTCCTTCCCCTCTTCCCATGACATCCTTTTCAACTATCCTAATAAATTTTCCTGTGTTTCATTACAGCTAGGGACTAAAGAAGGTTATCTAACAAAGCAAGGCAAAATAGTGAAGGTAAGCAATCGAAAAGTTGTTCTATTATTTTTTTCCCTTACACATTAAAAATCAAACATGCTACGGAACAGTGCTTGAAAACTGCATTGAGCATGTGTGAGCAAAATAGGATCTGGAATACATGTTTATATAATATCCAACAATCGCTGTATGGTTAAGAAATTTACTTTTCCTTGGCATAGCATCCTGTAGGCATGTTGGACTGTCACCCCTATAATCCCCTGCCAGTATGGTTATGATGGGAATTATAGTCCAACGTTCCTGGGGGATACTATCTTAACGAAAGCTGTATGAAGTAGAGAGCCTTATGAAACTGCTTTTAGTGGCTCATTTTGAAAAGGTAGCAAATAGTATATTTATTTAAAAATGCATTTTCTTCTTGTAGAGCAGAGGTGTACTTTTTGGATTTTCACCTCAAATGCTGAAAAACCAACAGTGTGCTGCCCTTTCCCACATTTAATGTGCATTATGTCTATGGATGTTTCTTGAGTTGTTTGAGTAGTATTTCTGCCAAAATCTGTTTGCTGTTTCACTTGTTCCTCTTTCAGTACCATTTTTGGAATTGTCTCTTCATTTCCCGGTTCTCTCATAATTGTCCCTTTCTGAATCAGATGTGGCACTTAACTCTCCAGGCTGACATCACAGCATAAACCTTCGAAAACCTCTAAGGCAGTGTTTCTCAACCTTGGCAAATTTAAGTTGTGTGGACTGTCAGAATTCCCCAGACAGCATGCAGAATATACCGATATGGGCTTTATCAAGCCACAGCCACACATATTCATAGTAAGAGAAAGAAAAAGATTTTTATTTTGAATGGTTGAGTTATGTGATTAAAAACAGTTGTTATGATAATTAGGACTTAATTTTAGACCCAGCTTTCTATTAAATTTAGAGTTACAGCTTATTCAATGTATTGGCTGAATTGACTTTTGAATATTCTCAAATCAGATAAATAAGTAGCCAATCTCAGCCTCTTTACATGCTCTTTATGACTTTAAGGCAAGACTACCCATAACTTTTCTCTAATCTCCAATCTCACTTGAGTTGTGCATGGCCTCAAACTCACTTCTCCTTTTTCATGTAGATTCATCTGTTGTCTTTTCCTGTTCACATCTCATGTCATGTAGAAGGTTGCAACACCCTCTTCCTTTTCACTTACTAAATCTGCTTGTCTGGTCTTCCTTACTTCTAGAATCTTCTTCTGAGCCATCCTACCATTGCATTTTCTTTTTTTCTTTTTAAACCTCATCTCAAGTAGCCTTCTCCAACCCGGTACCTTCCAAATTTGTTTAGTGCCTTCCGCATCTACAACCATTGCAGCATTCCTAGGGTCATGTGATCAGAATTCAGATGCTGGGCAACTGATTCATTTTTATGACAGTTGTAGTGTCCTGGGGTCATGTGATCACCTTTTGCAACCTTCTGACAAGCAAAGTCAACGGGGAAGCCAGATTTATATTCACTAAATAACAACTTCAGGGATTCACTTAACAACTGGGGCAAGAAACGTAAATGGGGCAAAACTCACTGTTTCACTTAGCAACAGAAATTTTGGGCTCAATTGTAGTCATAAGTCGGGAACTACTTGTATCATGTTGAGGAAGGAAAGAAAGAGAAGAGTTTTTTTCAGTACGTGTTGCTTCTTTTGTGTTGAATTTCTTTAAATTTTCCTTCTCTTGATTCTTTTAGAACTGGAAAACTAGATGGTTTACACTGCATAGGAATGAGCTGAAATACTACAAAGATCAGACGGTGAGTTGTGTTTTACTCTGTTGCTTGTGAGAGTTAATGCAAACCAATCTATGGGGTACTAGAAATATTCTTTGCTCCGTGTTTCCAAAATAGCTATTGCAAAACTGAGAGCCAAGCAACATGGACTTTGTATTCACTGCTATTTTTATTCTAGTTCAGTTAGCGCGCTACACTTACATGCTACTTTTCTTCTATCAATGACTGAGCTTCCTTTATAGCAGAGTAAGGAAATGCAGATTGCACATTCCCCCCTAACCGTCAAATGCTTCCCCTGAAATTTAGTGGCAAAAATTATTTTCTGTATTGTAATTATGTATTTTGGACACCAAAATAGCCTCTACAAGGTGTCAAGGTTTAATCATATTTGCTATGTACATCTCAACTCTGCAAAATAAAATGAGGTTTCTCTGCCCCACTGCTATCACCACAACAGATGATGTGATACAGATCTGGTGGGCTTTGGAGGCTAATAACAATTTTAAAACATGGCCCAAAAATCTGGGCTGCCCCTCATTTATAGAAATGTACTCACAAGAGGCCTAAAGCCATAGAAGGATAAATTACATTCATTGCTATCTCAGTCTGTGCTGAGCTTAAGAAAAGGAGGACAGGCAGGAAAAAACTCCAACTCATTTTCCTGCTGATTGCCAGAAAGGCTACCCCCACAAGCCTTCAGCATATCCCAGGATTGCAACACTGAAGGCTTGACAGGAATATACTGTTTAGTGAAGACATGAAAGCTGAGCTCAGCTGTTTTGTGGAGGATGAAAGTGGTGCAGATAACTGTTTAGTGGAGGCCATGGAGGTATTAAGAGAGAGAGTCAGCTCACCATCCCCCCTCTTTCCGGTATGGGGAAAAATGGGGAAAAATAAAAGACCTCCCTGAAACTAAGACCTGGTGCCTATTTTGGTGGACCAAAAATATAAGACCAGGTTTTATTTTAGGGAAACACAGTATTAGAGGAGAAGGAAAATCCACCCATGTTGGATTTCTTTTTTCAAGGATCTTCTTTTTCCTTCCAGTTGCACTACATCTTTTGCAATGTATTAAATCAAACTCACTAGTGAGTGCAAAATAATCTTTGTTTGTAGAGTCTTGTTTACTGTTCTGTTCCTTACCTGATGTCTGTGATGGGGCAAGGTGGGTCACCATTTTAAATGATAAAACAGAACAATTGTTTCAAAAATAATATTTTTTCAAGTCCACAGAGCCAATCAGAGCACTTGATCTAACTGAATGCTCAGCAGTGCAGTTTGACTATTCCCAAGAAAAAGTGAATTGCTTTTGGTAAGTTGAGGCTGAAATACAACTTTGGGGTATCCTAGTGTGTCTCCTAGTGTTTCTTTTCTCTCTTTAAAAATTTCTCAGTGCTATTCTGTGTAAACCTTTTCTTCTTTACCTCACTGCTTACCAAATTACTGTTATCGCTCATGGATTCAATTAAGACATTGTTCTGCTTTTCCTTGATTTGTCAGTTTGCTATCAGAACTAATTGCTTCCTGCTCTCCTTTTGTTCTTCTTTTCCTAAAAGCTTTAGAAACGGGCTCTGCTCAAATTCCAGAATTCTAGTTTAATTAGGAAAGAGCAGGTTACCCATGCATGTTATTTGATTGTTTAGCTCCACTTGCACATACTATATGTGTTGCATAAGACTGAAACAAAAAGCTGCATTTTTAGCCATTCTAACAAACAAGCTCAGCAGCAGCTTCCATTGTTTACCTGTTCCTACCTGGCTTTTGGCCACTGGCTTGGACCATACATGTCAGAGGTGGCATTCAGCAGGTTCTGAGCAGTTCTGGAGAACTAGTAGCAGAAATTTTACGTAGTTCGGAGAACCAGTAAACACCACCTCTGATTGGCCCTGCCCCCATCTATTCTCTGCCTCCCGAGTCCCAGCTGATCGGGAGGGAATGTGGATTTTACAGTATCCTTCCCCTGCCACACCCACCAAGCCAAGCCCACCAAGCCATGCCATGCCCACCAAGCCATACCCACAGAACCGGTAGTAAAAAAAGTTGAATCCCACCACTGGCAAGTGTTTTAACTCAATAGAGTTACTCCCTTTGAATTCTGTAAATCTACTTTAATTATAACAAAATATGCATTTAGCTTACAGGGAATCTTCTTTTAGAGACCACAATTGTTACCAATAACACAGTTCTTTGGCAAAGCAGCCTTTAAGTGATACTGTATTAATGTTTATGATCTTGCTTCAGCTTTCCTTTGCTGAAAATTGTTAAATGTGAGGATTGTTTGTAAAGTTATTTTTTCCATCACCAATATGACTGCAAATGGTTGTAAATGAGGCAGTCACTAAATAAGGATTACCTGTACTTTATTTTTTTTTAAATAGCAACCCTACCTTCCACTGTTTCTCAGAAATAAAATCCGGACATGCTTGTATTAGTTTCCCCAAGCTGGAGCCCTTTCCCAAATATGTTGGTTAGGCCTGATGAATGTCATACTCTGGAAAGCTGTGCATTTGGTACTATCTCTGATTCACAATGAATGGAGCACTTTGGATGCATCTTTACTGCTGATAAGTTTTTCTGTTTTGTTTTTTTAATAACTAATGCTATTATTTTATTTATCATAAGGGTTTGGTCAAATTTCAAATATTTACCTCAATTATTTTCTATTTCTTTTAAGAAGAAAAGTAAGATTTTAAAAAAATAAATCAAATAATATTTTTAGCTTCAGTTTCTTTGGAAAAATTGAATATTAATATTGGAGATGACTATGGTTTCCTTATATTTGTGACACAGAATTTTTATAATTTTATTACAGCTTAGTATTTCCAATGCGGACGTATTACCTGTTTGCAAAGACTGGAGTAGAAGCCGATGAGTGGATTAAAATATTGCAGTGGAAACTGGTAAAGAAATGTCTATCATAGAAGATTTGATTAGAATTAAATGGGTAGCAATATGGTGACACATAATAGTTCATGCTGACCATGCTGATCTCTCTAATTTAATCCCACAATGGTAGGCTTAGAAATATTTAAAAAGAAAAAAATTACAACACATATACTCATGGACATTTAAACATGCCCTACTCTGCTTCTTTGCTTATACAGGTGCTTATACAGGTGAGGTAAGTCCTTGACTTACAACCATTCAGTGACCATTCAGTTACAAGAAGACTGGAATTATCATTTGCCACCTTCCTAGAGAGCTTCTGACAACAAAGTCAATGAGGGAAGCCAGTTTTGCTTAATGACCACATGACTGCAGTGATTCACTTACAATGATAACAAAAAAAGTCATAAAATGGAGTGTGACTCACTTAACCACTGCCTTGCTTAGCAGCAGAAGCTCTGGGCTCAATTGTCATCGCAAATCAAGGACTATCCGTATTGGTTCAAAGTTCAATCCTTCTTAACTCCAGATAACAAACAGATGTTAAAAGCAATTGCACTCTATACAAACACCACCAAATTAGATCGCCCAAGAATGTGACTTCATATACGGTAGTTTCCTATGTTCTTTTTCCAAAAGGAAATGAAACTACTAATCACGAAGGTCCAATGCTTCCATGCATGTCACAGATCACACTCAACTTCACTTTTCTCCATAGTGTGTCTCTGCAGTCTTCTGGAGCTTAGCTGGTGCCCTCCCCTCCCCCTCCCCAAGTTGTTATTTGGACTTTTAAATGATCCTTTAATACTGCACAATGGTGCTCAATGTGGGAAGTCACGTGAATTAAGGCTTTATGACGCAGGGACAGGATTTTAGTGAATGAGAAGACTAGTATAGGTGAGGAATTGATTTGAATTAAATGCTGAATGGAGAATCTCAGCTCTGGAAAAACTGAGTCATTTGCCTTTCTGGTAGGAATGAGAAAATAGGCGTGAGGCTAAATTTGCAGTTTATTGAAAATGGTTTGTTTGAAATCTTTTGTTCTTTGAAATCAAGAGATATGGGATGATGACAGCACCAAGGCAGAATTGTTGCTTTACATTTTCCAAGTAAAACAGCCTAATATAAAGCTCAGCCCACTTGCTTTAGTGACTACTTTTAAAAGAAAAAAGTGTGCATAGAATTCACCAAGTTTAATGATTTGGTCTGAGAAATAAAAAAGTTGCAAATGATTTGGGAGAATAATTTGAAATTTTCTTAAATTAAAATAAGCGAGTCACGTATAGTCATTTATATGATAGGACCCATTTTCTTTTTCAATTTCTGTTATGACAATGGCTTTTTTTCGGTAATGCTGATATCTTGGTGTCTTATCAAACTATCCTCTTTCATCTTTGTTCAGTCAATCCTGCTTAAAATATATAAAGTTGAGAGGTCTTGTCCATTATTGGCCCTCTTGTAGTGTTATTTGTTTAGTTTTATTTATTTCTTTAATATCCAGCCATAATAAGGGCTCCCAGTGGCTGACATTTATAAGACATATTGAATATTTTCGGCAACAATAAAAGTCGGTAATATAAAAAAGTATCAATATAGCAAATAGAAATGCAAAGCTGACTGTTTTTCAATCCCCCGATGCCCTTTATAAGACCTGCATTTTACACTTGTTTCCAGAAGGCCGGTGATAAGGGTGCTAAGCTTTTCTCCGAAGGGAGGCTATTCCCAATCATGGCGTCTGAGCAGCCAATTCAGCAACTGCAATAACAATATTGTGCTTATGGCAACCTTATACTAACATGAGACTCACTGCACTTTGAACAAATTGTACTTTCAAACAGGTCTTCTAGGTGGGATATAGTTCTAATTATTGCTAGTTACCTTATACTACAAGGATGGGCAACTATATGACCAGTGGACTTCAGTTCCCAGAATTCCTGAGTCAGCCAGGAATTTTGGGAGTTGAAATCCACAGGTGGTAAAGTTGTCTTAGTTGCCCACTCCTAATATACTACTTATTGTATATGATATATACTATAGGATATATACTATAGTGAACCAATTAGAGATGGGAGATATAGCCTAGCAATATGCTGAGGATATCAGAAGCTCTTAAATTACATGGTGTTTTAATTGACTTTTATTTACAAATTCATTTCAACAAATATTTTCTCCCCTTTACATTTTTTTTCTAGTCCCAGATAAGAAAAAAACGCCAACATGACTCAGGCCATAGTACTTTTGGCTAAAGATAAATACTAACTGTACAGAAACCAACATCGGTTCATATTCACACTCCTTCAGATTCGTTATTCAGCACGAAGAAGTGCTGCACCAGATCTGTTCAGAGGTTTTTAAGCTCTGCAGGTGCCGACTTGCCGACAGCTTATTTCTAGAACATTATTGAACACTCTGTTAAAGCAGAAGACCTTGGAAGATGGATATTCACCTATTCAACATTTCATTATTTTGGATACATCCAGTAGTTACTGGCATTCTGTATTTGCCTTTGCTGCCAGGTTTTCCCTAGTTCTTTTGTAAGCAGTTTTAGTCAAAGTACTTCTAGTTTCATAGAACTAGTTGCAAACCCACTCATCCTTGGCTGCCATTCCGTATGCTTCAAACCATTTACACTCTGGCTTATTAAAACACATTACTTGTGCAGAGTTTTTTAAAATAATAGTTTTGATTTCATAACAGTTCAAAATCATTTTCTCAGAACTTCTGTAATTTTGACTTCCCTGATGAGCAATCATTATAGATAATCTACTGCTAGTGGGACATTTCTATGGGCAAGTAAGATATTTTTTTTAATACTGGGAATACAGGTAGCTCTTGATTTACAATGATTCCTTTAGTGACTGTTCAAAGTTAAAATGGCACTGGAAAACCTGACTCATGACTGGCTCTCACATCGTTGCATCCCAGTGGTCAAAATTTAGGCACTTGGCAACTGGCATGTAGTTATGACAGCTGCATTGTCCCAGGGTCATGTGATCACCATTTGTAACCTCCCCAGCTGGTTTCTGACAAGCAAAGTCAATGGGGGCAGCTGGATTCACTTAACAACCATATGATTCATTTAACAGCCACAATGGTTTGCTGCGGCAAAAAAGGTTGTAAAATGTGGCGCAACTCACTTAACAACTGTTTTGCGTTGCAACAGAAATGTTGGGCTCCATTGTGGTCATAAGTCAAAAACTACCTGTATATTGTGACAAATGAGATGGTACTTTAGAAGTCAGTTCTGGACTGGAAAAGCTTAGTACTGTGCTTCTAAAGGCTGTGTCCATGGCCATCATTCATTATTTACTGCAAGGTCTCAAAATGCCACAATGGATATTCTCCATGCAGACAAATTGATGTAGCTGTTTTCCAAGACACAGAGAAATTGCATATGTCTCAAGACATGCGTAGATGGTAAGATGTAGCTTCAGCTACAGTTTAAATATATTTGCCTTACAGTAGAAACTGGTATATATCGGAAGCTTTATGCTGAATGCACATCTGTGTTCTGATCCTGGTTCAGCAATACATTTTCTGCAAATATTCAACATACTTAAACATAAAGTCATGTGAGAGCAATGCCCCCTTTGCTAGACTGTAAGAAGCCTGCAGAATCAAACCATAAGTCTGCATAGCTTTTTATTACCTCCAGTTGTCAGCTAATGTCTTTGGAAGGATGAAATAAAATGTTCTCTTAGTGTATGCATTTCACATATTGTGAAGTTCTATGCCACTAACTCAAACCTATCCATTTTTAGAGGCCAGACAGCTTGGGTTTAAAGCAAAGTAGTGCAACAAGAAATATAGTACAAAACAATACATATTAAGGAACAAATTGGCATTCATGTATAATTACTATTTAACTAATTTCCATTAACTACTATTTAGAATTAATACCGTTTAAGAATTCCAAAATATGTACAACCAACTATGGCTTTCATTTGTTAACATTTTATTGTATTTTTTAATCTTGTAAAACATGTTTTCTCATATGTTTTATTATTTAATGTTTTTATGTTTACCAATAGGAACATTTCAAAATGTTACACTGTTGTCAGAGTTTGTAAGAACAAGAGTGAATGAAGGCTCGTACAAATATGTATTGGGACCAGTTGTATATTTTATATTTTTATTAAAAAATTTCTAATAAACCAGGAACAAAAAGAAAATACAATTTTAGCTGTGCAGTGGATAAGACATTGGTGATAATACAAATACTTTCAAACTTTACATAACTAATCTTCCTTTCTCAATGAGGGCTCTGAGGCTAGGGTTAGGGTACTGCTCTTAATTTAAATGAGATTTCCACTACTGGATTTTGAAGGGGAAAAATACTCGTATACTCTCTTGGTTCCATGTTTCTCAAATGCGACAACTTCCAAATCAGAATATGTAAGAGTGAGAATGGATCTTGGACATCAGCTACTTGTTCTCAATCTTGGCAATCTCCAGGTGTGTACATTTCAAATTCTGGATTTCTCTACAATGGCCTTCTGGCTAGGGAATTCTGGGAGTTGAAGTTTACACATCTGAAAGCTGCCATGATAGATAAACAATGCTCTGGTCTAGACTCCATTATATGCCTGATCTGTTCTTCACTTGAATATTTGTTAGAGTGCTGTTGTATATGTAGCTGCTAAAGTCCTGTCAAAGTGGCTTTCTTCTATATATAGAATATTCCTTTTTATATATTATGATTCTTATACTTTCCAACTTTCAAAATTTTTTCTCTTATTTAAAAAATACGACCAGTTTGACTGCCCTGCCTCCCCCCCCCACTCCAAGGCAACAACACTATATAAATGAACATACTGATTAAAGACAGCAATAATGTTGCTTTGCAATATCTAACTCTGTGATAATGATCAGACTAAACACCTTGCCTGCTTCTTTTATTCAGATTTGCTTAGGAACATACAAAGCCAGATAAGTTAGCAAAGTATCATAATTACATGTATTGAAAACATCAGTTTTAAAAAGAATACAGAAAGAGAATGCACTGATTAATTTAAACTCTGCAGAAACAGCTAGCATGTAGCTACTCGTTTACAAATAGCTACTCTGAAGTTTAAAATTCTGTTATCCAAACAAAGAACCATTGATTGCATACCAGTATTAACGTATCTTTTCCCCATAATGTTCTTCTTCTATAAGCATAAAGGAAGATTTGACTGCAAAATGTATGTTTGCACTAGTCTCCATCTACCTAGACAGAGGCAACATATTGCTGGTAGAGTGAAAAAGTTGTGGATGGCATATTATACACAATTATTATACACAGTATTTTTTTTCTACTGTGAAATATGTGCTAGATTGAAGTTAACTCCATGGGAGTTGTTATGCTCACCAATAAACCCAGCAATCTAGGATATACAGGAAAAGCTACAGCCCATTTACCTTATATTTCAGTCCAGCACAGTTTTTAACATATAATAAGAGAAAGTGACATTTTCTCCAAGACATTCATTATACAGTGTGAAAATGACTGAATCTTTCCCTGTTTCATATTAAAGATTTGCTGTGCTCTGGATATAAATACTGAGTTAAGAGACTTCCACCACTTGCCATAGTTCTTCAAACAAAGGAGCCAGCTCTTTTTCCAGGCTTACAATCAGTCCTACATAAAGATAGGCAAAGAAGATGAGATGAACGTTTGTCTCTCAGGCAGGAATGAAAGAAAGCAAGGCAAGATTTAATTTCCATCTTAATCTATTGTTTTAGAAGGGCAATCTTACAACTTACACTATGCTGGCTCAGGAATTCTGGGAGGTTAAGTCCACAGGTTGTAAAGGGTCCATAGTTGCCCGCCCCTGCCCAAGATTTTATAGAGAGGCACTACTAAATCAATAACTGGCACAAGTGAGAGTTACTTCACTTTCATAGTGTTAGGAAGAACTTATTACTTGGGTGAGGAAGGGTATCACTGCTAGAACGACATATTTCCCTTTCTATTGGAGGAAAATTGAAATTTTTAGTTCTGCCGCCAATGTTGACCAAGGATAATATGTGAAAGCTTTGGTATAAGGCTTTCAACTTAGGTCTAGCTTTTACTCATTACGAAATGACTAACTTCACAATTATTTGCAAAAATTGGATGTGTCTTAAAAAATGGGCACAGACCGTATCCTTTAAATCTAAGTATGGAAATGCTGAATACACAGGACTTTTCAATTTTGAAAATATACCTGTATTGGCGTTGCTGCTGGCAATAAAACTCACTACCAAAGGAAGTTTATTGAACTGAACCACCTACAAGAAAAGAAATACAACTTCAAAATTCAATATTAAGTGTTTTTGTTATGGCCAGTTTACCTGTTTGGGTTGTATAGCCTGCTAGCTGGCAGATTAGCAATTAGCCATTCTCTATTCCTATCCTTAAAGTACTAATAATATGTTCTACATATATTCATAGGTACATACACACAGGTCACACCTAAATCTAAAAACAGGTAGTCCTTGACTTACAACAGTTCTCTTCGTGACCATTTGAAATTACAACGGCACTGAAAAAGTGACCTATGACCATTTTTCATACTTATGGGCGTTGCAGCATCCCTATGGTTACGTGATTTACATTCAGATGCTTAACAACTGACTCACATTTATGATGGCTGCAATGTCTCAGGGTCACGTGATCACTTTTTGCAACCTTCTGACAAGCAAAGTCAACGGGAAATCAGATTCACTCAACAACTGTCCTACTAATTTAGTAACTGTAGTCATTCACTTAACATATGTGGCAAGAAAAGTTGTACAATGGGGCAAAAGTCAATAAATTTCTCACTTAGCAACATAAATTTTTGGCTCAATTGTTATTAAGTTGAGGACTACCTGTATATGAAACCTCACAATACCCTATTTCAAAAACAACATTCTCGTTTCTTTTTACATTGCATACATCTTTTATACTGGTTGGGTTAATACATTGCGATAAGCTGCATACCTGAACATACAATACTTCGCTAAACAAACTACTGAATCCAGATTCAACTAGCACACAAAACCACAAACCCAGGTTGACTTAATCCCCTAGCGCAGTGGTTCCCAAACTTGGCAACTTTAAGACTTGTGGGCTTCAACTCCACAAGTCTTAAAGTTGCCAAGTTTGGGAACCACTGCCTTAGCGACTTAAGTTCATGCATCATGCCAATTAAACTCCCAAATTTTTAAAATGATAGGCGCTGATAGATTTTGAACAGGCTTTTCTGTGGCACCTGAACTGATCCAGTTCAAAACCTTTTTTGCAGCATTTTTATAATTATTTACCTGCTGGCAACCTTTGTTGGCTAATTTCTTACCTGGTAAGTGTTGTAATAACAGATTATGCTTTTGTTTTTGGAAAGCCCAAGTTTGCTGCCCTGATCTGTAGCAAGTGCAAATGTTGACAAGAAACCGGGCCGAAGAGCATGCTCAGGGGCATTATCATTGGCAACTAGAAAAAGAAGTTATGTTGTAATTTTCATAGAATAAACAGGAATGCAAAACATCATCTTCTTGGACAGCAGTATAAATTCCAGACAAGAGCTAGCGAGTTTTAAAAGCAGTACTGGCAGTCAAAAAGCATAATTCGGTTATCTCTAACTTGGGCACACTCTGCGTATGCAAATTCAGCCTGACCTATTAAAAAATGGCCCATTCATTTGGAGAAAGTTTGGGAAACAGGATTGGCTCTTCCCTTAATATGGTACACCTGTGACCACAGCAAGGAAGAGCAAGGAATACTCTTGCATCAGTATGTTTCAAAAACCGACCCACTGCAGTCCTCTGTGAAATGCTTTTAATTAAAATCCTAAATATATAGTCAACCAGTATATTTTAAACTTACAAATCAAAAGTAATTGGGAGATCTGACAAACCTCTTTCTCTTTTTAGAAGAGGTTTAGTTGTTAAGTTTGATGTACAGCTTAGCTTTTAGTACAAGTTGCTTTCACTCATCCCTCGTAGAACACGAGATGATGAGCCCACATTGTCACTCAAACTCAAACCACCCACAAAAAAAGTTGGCATAGGATTTCCTCAAAGTCAGAGTTTCCATAAATCACATTAAGGAAGTGCATTATGGCTGATGAACCAGCATTACGTTTCCTGCTGACCAACAACTATGCTAAAGGCCAACGAGAATGGAGTAACCAAATTATGATTAATGCAGATTCATGCTTGCTAGATTATATAATACTGAAAAAAATCCGGCTGAAGCTACACACTGAAACGTAGATTTAAGATGAAACATCTTCCTTTTGTCATCTCAGTTTTGATTGGAATGTTGCTCTTCTGCAGGCAGTTCAATACTGAAGATGCAATAATCGATTTGCAAAGGGACAATCCACCAATTTATCCCTCTTTGATTATTCCTTACCCTTAATTACTGGTACACCATCTCTGTCTGATACTACAATAGCATGAAGTCCTTCAACACTAAAAAGAAATAAGAGATTGCTTAGAAAGACAGTAAGCCATTTGAGTTTGTTGCCTCCTTGGTTTTTACTTTTAATTAGTTAATAAACATAGCAATTTAAAACTTGTTAATACGTTTATAAAATAATTTGATCTGTTCCCCCCCCAAATTTTTTTGGGGTTCCTTATGTTGTAGCTAAGGTGATTCCCCATTTTATCATCACAAAAATTAACCTGGAGGTAAGTTAGGCCAAGTGTGTGTGACTGGCAAATCTAATATAATCTAATCAGATTTTTGGGTATATGAAAATTTGAATCTTATTTTCCTGGTCGCAGCACAATATCTGAAACTCTTGATATAACCTCACATCGAATAGCTTCCGACAATCATATAGTTTTCTCAACGGTAAACATTATTTTGTAAACATTATTTGAGGATTTTTATTCCTAAAAAATAAGGGACGCAGTGGCTCAGTGGCTAAGACACTGAGCTTGTCGATCAGAAAGGTCAGCAGTTCAGCAATTTGAATCCCTAATGCCGTGTAATGGAGTGAGTTTCCGTTACTAGTCCCAGCTTCTGCCAACCTAGCAGTTCGAAAGCATGTAAAAATGCAAGTAGAAAAATAGAGACCACCTTTGGGGGGACGTTAGTAGCGTTCCGTGCATCTTTGGCGTTTAGTCATGCCGGCCACATGACCACGGAGACGTCTTTGGATAGCGCTGGCTCTTTGGCTTTGAAACGGAGATGAGCACCGCCCCCTATAGTCTGGAATGACTAGCACATACGTGCGAGGGGAACCTCTACCTTTTATTCCTAAAATATGGTCTGAAGGTGCTTGCTTAATGCTTATTATAAGTTTAACTCTGAAATTAAACAGATTTTAGGTCTCTGTGATAGCCTGGGAAAGCCATAAATTCTAACCAGAATGCAAGAGAAGAAAAGAGAATTGAAATACACTATCTTCATTCTGTTTATATTATCAACACTTTTGAGGCCATATAATATTTACAAGTTATGTTTACTAAACAGTTAATGGCAACTAAAGAATTCCATACAGGTAGTCCTTGACTTGTAACCACAATTGGGAGCAGATTTTCCATTGCTAAGCAAGGTGGTTATTAAGTGAGTCTCACCCTATTTTACAACCTGTTTTTTGCAACAGGTGTTAAATGAATCACTGCAACTGTTAAGCAAATGTGGTTTCTCTACTGAATTTGCTTTTTGGAAACTCCATTTTCTCCACTCGGAAATGGGTGATACATATTTCTGCTCTTTTCCTCCTTCTATACTATACATTGTCATAGTATCAGCAAAGGCTGTGATGGAAAGGGATGGGTTGGGGGGGGGGAACCCTTTTACATATTGAGCCCATCAGATTTCAATTTGTAATTTGGGGCTATCAAAAAAGAAATTTTAACTTGTCTGTGTGCGTGTGTGTGTGTGTTTTGTAATTTTTAGTCCGTCTACAATTCCAATAAACTCTCCCATCATGCAAATATTTGCATAGTCCAAATCAATTATTTTTCTGTGTAGTTTTCTATAAAACTCATCTTGTTTATCATTGGGGACATAGATTGCTGTTAAAAGTATTTTCTTATTGTTGTCCATAATTTCCACCATCAAAATTCTTCCCTCGTCATCTGTATAAATTTGTTCCGCTGGGATTGTATCTTTAATATAAAAAAAATCACTCCTCTTTTCTTACAGCTTGCCAATGAAGTAAATATTTTCCCCAGTTTTGGCTGTACCAATAGATGTTCATATTGCTTTTGAATATGCACTTCTTGCAGACAAATTATATCACACAAAAAACAACAAAGTTAAATAGAAAACCACTTCCAAAAGCTTTTTTAAAATGATTGATGAAGTAGACCTAAAAGATTATACTTCTTATACGATATTTATTTCAAGTGGGACCAACTTAAATCTTTGGCCAGGAATTGCCCTGGAGTTACATATTTGACCAAAGGATTAGAAGGAGCAGCCAGTTGCACCTGCATCTGGATATTTCATATATTAGAGGACTCATTGGTAAAACTGATGTCATCCTGCCATGACATTCAAATGGCATCAGAATGGAAAGAATTGCAAAAGCATTAAGAGTTTTCTGAAATTACTCAGAGCATTTTTACACTGATAAGTTTACCTGCTTATATGGTATAAAAATAATAAGCATTTTACCTTGGTAGTTTTTTATACAGGAACCTTTTCAAATCCTAGAGTGAAACAAAGCAAGCAGTATTTTTAGCCACTTATATTACTTAATAAGAGATCATACTCCTTAAATTTTGAATTAAACTAGATTTTGGAGAAACAATGCTTTGTTGTCACTAGAAAGGATGATATTTGTTTAGGAATTGGCCGTGACTCTTAAATACTGCTAGGATCATAAGTTTAATCATTATAGGCAAACAAGTAAACAATACACAACCTTCTCATCCTGAGCTTCTCGGCCACATTGGCCAAGTGAATTTGTACCACTGAGCTGCCATATGGGCAGATTGTTCCTCATATCTGAACCAATTACTCATGAATTATAATTCAATATAGGTTATAGACTAGAATAAGTGAAATAAATATTCCATAAACATTAGTAGAAATTGTTCAGTATGTAACTTGTTACAAAACAGTTTCCAATCATTGTAAGGATGTTCATACTTACATCTGCCATGATACTCAAAAAAGTATGACTTGCCAGCCCACTGAAAAGTCAAAATGATATATGTTTAGAAAAGATAATCTGTTCGCCTTTAAGGAGATATCAGACTCTTTGCTGTTTCTATTGCAAGCAAAACATAGCCACTGGGGCTGCACAATGATCTGGATTCAAAGGTAAAAAATGGCCCATTAAGATGCTTTTTAAAAATTGTTTTGCCTAAGTTTATCTTTGTCAGGCTTGTAAACAATTACCTTTTGTTCATTTTTTTCAATTTTTAAATATGCCGTTAGTCGTGTTAATTTATAAAAATGCGTGGGCATGCATGTTTTAATTGTTAATACTACCTTAATTCAAAAACACCTTTTCTGGGATCCACTGTACAAGTTCATGTAGAGGCATAATAAAATTAAATACAAATACTAATATATTTAAGTATGATTCTTTATGAAGCTAATAGACAGGATTATATTTGTATACTTGGTGCCTATATTTCATCCCAGACTGGAGACAGCTAAAACAAACCAAACAATTTTCTTTCTAGGCAGAAGAAACTGAATGATGTAAACGGAGACTACAAAATAAATATTGTTTATTGTATATGTCAATATCCAGAAGGCTACTACAAGTGTGCAATTTAACAGGGGAGTCAATTTAATGCGTTATCAATCTATTCCAGAAGAAGGGTTGCAGTGTAATTGTATTTGTTCTTTTATCTTTCTGTGTCAAATGTATTTGACCAAATATATATAATCTATAAACGTAAAAGTCTTGCACTTGGGACCTTCTCTCCCTCTGTCTGCACAATCTTTTTTCAAATTTCATTTCCATCCTATCTCCCTTATAGCAAATTGTATCTTCAAATACTTTGGTTTCTAATTTGAGTGGGTGATTTTTCCACAACATTCAAGAAAATATGAATTGTCAACAGATGCAAATTACATGCCCTCACACAGTCCAACTTATTTTTTCCCCTTTGAATTTGGAGTTCTATACAGCCCTGACATCTATCCCTCTAGAAAATGCTGGGGAAAGCTGCACTGAGTCAATCTGCGCTTCTCAAATTTGGTATCAATTATCTTAACCAGGCCATTGGTACCTTTTACCTCTTAGGTGGAAAGTTTTGCTTTCTTAGGCTTCAAAATAGATAAATGACCTGAACACTAGAAAAGATAATCCCTAACAGCAAATATATATAATGACAAATATCAACCCAATTACAAAGCACAGATAAACTTCAGTGACCGTGTCCACAGTGATCATGATAAAAAAAAAACTTTTCCAGTGATGATGTACAGTTGTGAAATAAATATTTTTGAATTCTGGATTTGGAAAAGTCAAACCTACCGTGAATTCAAAGGCCAGCTAATTTTGAAATAAATAAAAGAGTGACTGCATAGGTGGTTATCACTTGGCCTATTTTCTCTAGGCTCTACATTGGATCTTTGCCAAAAGATCTATGAGTGATACCTTAGCTCAGAAAAAGATCAGTGTTAGGCCTCGTTAGTGTTTGGATGAGAAAGCAACCAAACTTGATTGCAGAAAATACGACTTGTTGAGAGTTGTCAATGCCTGGAATGCACTATCTGACTCTGTGGTTTCTTCCCCAAACCCCCAAAACTATTACCTTAGACAGTCTGCTATTGACCTCACCCCATTCCTAAGAGGTCTTTAAGGGGCATGCATAAGTGCACCAGTGTGTCTACCACCCCTGTCCTAATATTCCCTTGCATTCGTATTCATTCCATGTATTTATAATCGTATTTATACTTATATCTGTTATCTAATGCATGCTTGAAAAAATACATAAAATAAATAAAATAAAATAAATAATTCCAGGTTTGCCCATTGCCTGATAAGCAGGGGAAAAAAATCCAAAAGCAATCCCAATCAGTTCCGTATCATTGCAAAGGTAAACTGCATGGATGTAAGGGGGGGGGGGCGAAGAAAAGAGAAGTAAAAAAGCAACCACAAATAAGGCACAGAATGAAAAAGACCAGCGGAATATCTTAGGGAGGAGCAACAGAGTTTTCGAGGAGATGAAGAGGCCGGGCATTTATTGGCTCCGATCCCGAAGCCCCTTAACTACCCCTGTCCTCCCGGGAAATACGGAAAAGGAGGTTCTCATCCCCCTAAATAAGGAGAGGATCAGGAGTTCTAATAACGAAGTTAAGCACGTGAAAAGGACGACACGCCCCGCCGCCTTCAGACTAACGGCAACCGCTTACTCCTATACCAACCTCCACTCTCTTCCGGCATTTAACGCTTTCACCCACCGGCCTGACTCTGCGCCCGAATCGCTTTCCGGGGTCCCCGCCGTCACGTGATTCTCGGCTACGCACGTCTCTCTCACGTGACTCGTCACATCCGGCCACGCCCGCGAGGCTGATAGATATACTAAAAAGGGGCGGGGTCTTGGGACAGCGTGAGGAGACGCGTTCCGCCTCCCACGTGATTCCTTGTAAGCGGCATCCTCGGACGCTGCTTAGAGATACTAAAAAAAGGGCGGGAGGGTAAGAGAATTCGAGGGACGATTTGCCACAGACTCGCCGCGGCTAACTCCCGCGAGACAATACGTTGTGGGACAATTTAACGATTCTATTTAATTATTTAAAATAAATATTTTTTTGCCATTCACAATTCATTCTGTCCCTCCTTTTGCATCCTTTCTTGAATTGAACTGAATTCTTTATTGGCCAAGTGTGATTGGACACGCAAGGAATTTGACCGTTGTGCCCTTCTGACAAGCAAAATAATGGGGAAGCCAGATTCACTTAACCGATCCTCTCAATAATTTAACAATTGCAGTGATTCACTTTACAAAGCCGAGGTGGCGCAGTGGTTAAATGCAGCACTGCAGGCTACTGCTAGATCAGCAGTTCAGCGGTTCAAATCTCACCGGCTCAGGGTTGACTCAGCCTTCCATCCTTCCGAGGTGGGTAAAATGAGGAGCCAGATTGTTGGGGGCAATATGCTGACTCTCTGTAAACCGCTTAGAGAGGGCTGAAAGCCCTATGAAGCGGTATATAAGTCTACTGCTATTGCTATTGCTAAATGTGGCAAGAAAAGTTGTAAAATGGGGCAAAACTCACTTAGCAACATGCATTCTGGGCTTGTCATAAGTCAAGGACGATCTGTATTTCCATTTTAAGGCAGCATGGTGGGCAGAAATGCTACTTGGTTTGGAGGAATATTTTTCCTAAATCATTTTTTAACTTGGAACCCTCTTTTGTTGTGTAGGAAGTTAGCAACCCCCTTTCCTAGAAAAATGAAATATCCTAGGAAATATTGAAGAGGCAGAATATTTTATTTCCCTGGATATGAAAAGGGAGAAACATGTTTTAAAAACAAAGTAGCTCCCCCCCCCAAAAAAAACTTGTCAAGGAGCCATTAAAGCCTCAGCTAGGGTACTTTACATAATAAAGGAAGGATTAGCCTTCCAGAGAAACTCACCACATGGCATTTGGAAACTCAAACTTGGCCCCATGGGAGTCTGACAACCAATCACTACATTTCTTACACAGGAACAGGAAACAGAGAGGTGGGGCCAAACAGTGTATAAAGCCAGGAACTTTCAGCCCTTCCCTCTCCTCTCCAACATTGAAGTATGTGATCACCTTTTCTGTTCAGGACTCAAGCCATGTGGTGCTGTCCACCATTAAACCATCTTTCCAAGCAGCCTCCATGTCTCCAGTGTCTTTTTCCCCACTTGGAGCTGAACCTAAAAGGACATTTCTTCCAACAGTTGTGAGAAACAAGGCTTTCTTCACTATAATGAATTGCATAGGTATTCAATAAAAATTTCAAAATAAGTATAAATTTGCAAAAGCCATCTGAAATTGGGAGAAAAAAGGGAAGCCAGCATTCTGTAATTTGAGATGTTTCAGAAGAGACCAGGACTCCTTTGCAAAATGAGCCAAAGGCCTCTAAATAGGACAGGCTGCTTGAAAGCATTTTGCTATGAAGAGAATCCTATCTCCACATAATTATATTGAATATAAATGAAAACAAACATAAGAATTAGATAATCTGATTTCCCCCTACTCATTTTGTATTTGCACAAAGGTTCCAGGTTCAGTTCCAAATGTTTTATTTGCACAGAAACAGGAATCATCCTCTGGAGGTGAGATTTGGATATGCTGTTTCTTATTGGCTCAAGTTTCTATTTTCTATTGGCTTTTTATATTCACTCCTAGAAAAAGCCAAAGCCAAGATTTGAAAATAAAATAAAATAAATGCCATTGGGTTCAGACTTGAGCACTATAGGCAATTTACAAGAATGGGTTCCTTCTTGAAAATCTTTTCAACCTGCAAACTATCAATTCAATCTAGTTTGTTCAACACACTGTACAGCCTTCTTTTTGGCCCACTTTAATGTTCTACCTTTGATAGTATTGGATGGGAATTTTACAATACAATAGCAGAGTTGGAAGGGACCTTGGAGGTCTTCTAGTCCAACTTCCTGCCTAGGCAGGAAACCATATACCGTTTCAGACAAATGGCTATCCATCTTCTTAAAGACTTCCAGTATTGGGGCAGTCACAACTTCTGGAGGGAAGCTGTTCCACTGATTAATTGTTCTGGCAGGAAATTTCTCCTCAATTCTAGGTTGCTTCTCTCCTTGATTAGTTTCCACCCATTGCTTCTTGTTCTACCCTCAGGTGCCTTGAATAGTTTGACTCCCTTTTCTTTGATTTCATAAAATTTTCATAAAATTTAATGAAATCCGTAGACCACAGTGAACCTGAGACCTTACTCCATGTATTTCTTCATTGCCCTTTTAATACCTTTACTCTACCTCCTATTAGAGATCAAGCTTTCAATGAATAAGTGGTTTGTCTCCTTTCAGGCTAGAAACCTGCTATTACGAACAGTTACCCAGTAGTAATCCTGTCATGCAAAAAGTCATTTTATTATTTTGTCCAAATTTTACTTTTTGTTATATTTTGTTCTTTGTTTGTCCTCTGCGCAGACCAAGTAAGGTTGCAGAAATATATTCACACTCAATCATTTTTTCTCTTCTTCCTTTTAAATTTAAGGTTGGGAGAATCTTTGGAATATATCATGGAAACCAAGACTACAGGCTGCACAGGAGAGAAGTACAATAGGTATTCTGTTGATTAAATTTTCTTCTGTAAATGCAATAAACTGTCTTTATAGTATAGCAGGACTAACTCAAATATAAACTGAGAATACTTTAAAAGTATCTGATTCTTTAATCCCATTAGATAAAAGGAATCTGATTAGAAGAATAAGACTTGTTTGCCCAACAGATTAAACTGTATTTGACAAACACACTTATATTGACATAGTATGCCAAAACAAACCATATTAACTTGATGGGTTAAGACTTACAGTTTTGGTTTAAACATTATGACTTGTAAATTCTGATTTAGGATTTAAGAGAATTTTACAAACAGAGTCTCTGTGCTGTTGCTTCCATGTACTGTGCTTTGTTCGGCTGAATAATTAGATACAATCTATTCACACTGAAAATAGTTTATTTTGATATAAGTCTGATATTAGGTACATTACAAATTAAAATTTTATTTTCTTTATTCCTAACCATAAATGTACAGATAAATAAGATCTCTTTTGAAAGATGCCATTCTAATTTTTAAAGGATTTTTGTTACTGGGCATCTCTTGACAGATTTTTAAAGCTTGATTTTAAAACATTATCAGGTCTTCCAAGAATTAACACTGAAGTCCATTTAGATTTTTAAAGCAGACAAAACAGGTCAAATAAATTCTAAATGTATTTACTTGAAAATAAATGTATTTAATACTCACAAAGCACCCCTACCAACTGAAACTTGCATATTTAATCAAGTTTTATAAAACCTTATGAACAAACTGCAGATTGTCAGATTGTTATGTGAAAGGTTAGCAAACAGTTAAGAAATGTCTTGTTAGTAAGACATCTCTATTATTTCACTTTATTCAAATGGAAAAATAAGTATAGCTTTTAGAAAAAAGCAAATCTACACAGGTTTAATTAATAGTAGATTCTGTAAGTACTACAAGAGGGTGAAATCCAAAGTTTCATGAGCAAAGGTTTGCTCATATGATCAAACTGTTTTCTTCCTGTGTTACATGAATATCTTCTTCAAAAAGTTTTGTCTAGAGCAGATTTTGAGAAATTTAGGAGGAAAAGATAATTGACTTGCTCTTAGTTCTGATTGTTCTTCATCCAGAATGTCCTCCCATACACAAACATACAGATATTTGAACATAGCTGAAAAACCTGAACTAGCACTAGAATTGGCTAATTACATGTTATGAAGCCACAGATAGAGGTTCTTATTGCAAACTATCATTATGAGCATAGGAAATATTTACTGATGAATTTGCACACAACCTTTGCACAACAATCCACCATTAAGGCAGTTTCTCTTTTTCTCTTTTCTTTTTGCAAGTGATCAATATTTTTTTGCTCATATCTCCTTATATACATCATATGGGTGCAAAGACATAAGCCAATACAGTTTCATTGCAGTGAAGGTTCAGACCTCACCTCTCAGGTAATCATATGGTATCCTAACTGAAAGTGGGCAAGATTATCAAGGAAAGAAAAGGAATGGCAACTTCCAGGCAATTTTTGTTTGTCATGACATCCAAATCCCTACTACTTGTGCTATTCTCTGCACATATTTAGTCATACAATATTATACAATCACAAGTTGGAGGTATGATGCTAGGAAATACAGCAATACACAGATGCATACATACCTAGTCATTTATAAGAGCAGCAGTTCTCAAACCAAAAGACTGGTACAGTGAAAAGAAATAAAACATATATGCTAACAAAAATAAATAAATATAAATATGCAACCTTAACATAATCCTTAACGTAAGGCATATTTTAAAATCAAAATTCTAACAAAGCTGGAATATGATCTAGAGACGTGCAGTTATTCTGCAAATCAGAAAAGCTGTTGTAATATTAGTAATACATGGGTTACAGATAATCTAAACCTTGGGGCCCCTAATTTATTAGGCACTTAGAATGGCCTATATTAATTCCCATGGGACTGATTTGGAAAAGCCCATCCAGAAATCTCAGCTGTTGATTTATGTTCACAAAAAGTAATCATGTTTTAGCACATGCTTAAACTTTCATGTAAGGTTGCTATTAATATAATTTTTATTCCTGTAAATGATTCTTGTACTGCAAGATCTGCCTATAATATCAAATATGATTGTCCCTCAATTCCATCAATTGCTCCATTTATTTTGATGGATTGTTTCTTGACGTATTAGAAGAGAGATTTTAATATTTGTTTTAAATTATTTTGAAATAAGAATAATTTGTATTTTTTA